ACTCTAGTGAAAATTGTTCAGCATTAATCCCTGCTGATTCTCTTTCGTTCTCCATAAATTCTTCTTCGGGTAACCTAATTATTATTTATATTTGCATATGTTCAAGTGCAGACCATAATATGTTTCTGATACTAGTCATGCAACGATTTAGGAAAAAACAAATCCAAGAAACTAGCAATTGCACTCGGAGTCAGCCTTGGCGTTGTCTCCATTTTACTCTTAGCATTTGGATATTTGCTCTGGAGAAGAAACAACAAGATAAAACGGTCTATTCTATACATTACCGGTGAGTGCTTCTCATTTCAAGTGTAAATGTAATATGATATAATTAATTATTTTTATTCTGAAAACATCTTTTCTATCAATTTGTGTTGAAAAATGAATTTTGTTGCAGATATGCAAGAAGAGGACTTAGTAAAGTTAGGCAACCTTAGAGGCTTCACATTGAGGGAACTACAAAATGCAACGGATAATTTCAGCTCTAAGAATATACTTGGTGCCGGGGGCTTTGGGAATGTTTACCAGGGGAAGTTGGCCGATGGCACATTGGTGGCGGTGAAGCGACTGAAGGATGTGACAGGAACTACTGGGGAATCACAGTTTCGAACTGAACTAGAGCTGATCAGCTTAGCAGTTCACCGGAATTTGCTCCGCATTATTGGATATTGTGCCACGCCAAATGAGAAACTTCTGGTGTATCCTTATATGTCTAACGGCAGTGTGGCTTCGAGGCTTAGAGGTTAGAGTCCATTTACAAGCTTGCATTTGACCAACTTTTGCTATACCAGTCTTATGTTCCATTAACGTTCTTGTTAGGTAGTTGTCAAGTCTCTGTATTTTAGTAACTATGTCCTTGAGGGTGGGGTGGACAAACCTACTTCTAGTTCAGGGCCTCAAGCCAGTGTGTGATAAGAACAGGAAACAAATCTAGAAGTAGACAGAGCAATTTATCAGCAATTGGAAAGTATTAAAATCTAAATTTCCTCTTTCTTGAAGAAGTTTTCGTGTTCCTCTATCCTGAGTCATGGAACATCGTTGCACAAAAATGTCAATCCATGTTACATCGTTGCACAAAAATCTCAATCGTAAGAGGAAATAGTTAAACAAAACTCTAAGGCTACGTCAATCAAATAAATAGTCATACCAGTACTAATCTTTCAATAGGATGAGCCAGTGAGCCCACAATTTGTAATTAATGCCTATTTTCCTCCCCTTCAGAAAAAATGCTACCCGCTTGGTTTATGTTCTGATGCATCATCAACTCAGGGCTGAAGCAAGGGTAGCATTTGGTGCGCACTAATGACATGTTTGCTAAGGAGAATAAAACAGTTTTGGGCAGTGTTAAATAAGAAACCAATGTACCATTTCATACTGTGTAATAATGCATAACAAATGTGCACTAATGTGCATGGTGAGGAACTGTTTACTTTTTTACATATTGAAACTGTGTGTCTTAAATTGATAATTACAGGTAAACCAGCTCTCGACTGGAACACTAGGAAGAGGATCGCCATTGGAGCTGCAAGGGGTCTACTATATCTGCACGAGCAATGTGATCCGAAGATAATTCATCGAGACGTTAAGGCTGCGAATGTCCTCTTGGATGACTACTGTGAGGCCGTTGTTGGTGACTTTGGCCTTGCAAAGCTCCTTGATCATGCTGATTCTCATGTTACAACTGCTGTTCGTGGTACTGTTGGACATATTGCACCGGAATATCTCTCGACTGGCCAGTCATCTGAGAAAACTGATGTCTTTGGATTTGGCATTCTTTTATTAGAGCTAATAACCGGAATGAGAGCTCTGGAGTTTGGGAAGTCAGCAAACCAGAAAGGAGCGATACTGGAATGGGTACGTCTTTTCTTTGATCATTATGTACTTTGATATTGGAACATTTTGTAATATGTGAAATGCTAAAGAAGAGCAATTAACATTTTATAACATGGCAATTTGGCAAGTATAGTAACTTACAATTATCAAGAGACCTTGCTCAACTCTTAAATTTAGAATATTTTTACTACTGAATGGTGTGTTTATTTTTTCGTTCTTTCAAGTTTCAATGTTCTGTTCTATCATCTATGCGGATTCAAGAAGTATATTGTCATTTTCTATCCATTGTTTTCTTTGCTATAGTCATGATATTCAGGATTGTATGCTTGGAAATACCATAATTTTGTTGAACGCCTTAATTTTGCTGCAAAAATTATGTTCCTGTCAAGATTTTATAATTTGGTAATGGGGACGATGAAACAGATTGATTTTGCTGAATAACTTTCTAGTGGGGATGGTTTAAACCTTGAGGCTCTTTCAGAATTCGGTACACAATGTAATGTAGTTCCCCAAAAACCAAACTTTCTGGGAAAATAATTCCAGTCATTCAACTGCAGATTACAGTTTACTCAATAAAAGAACTGGATTGTGATGAACTTGAAACTTGTGCAATTGCAGGTTAAGAGGATACATCAAGAGAAGAAATTAGAATTGTTGGTGGATAGGGAGTTGGAGATCAATTATGACAGGATTGAGGTGGGTGAAATGCTGCAAGTGGCTCTACTTTGTACTCAATACCTACCAGCCCATCGTCCCAAAATGTCAGAAGTCGTCCGAATGCTTGAAGGCGATGGTCTTGCAGAAAATTGGGCAGCCTCCCATAACTATATCAATACTGCTACCAACTTTTCCCGGGAAAATAGTAAGTCGCATCCTACCATGGCGTTCGAACACGACGAGAATGATCATGACCGTTCAAGCATGTTTAGGATAACAATGTCGATGGATGATGAATATGATGCTCACTGCATGGAGCTTTCTGGTCCAAGATAATAGAAAAGTGGAAATCCCAAAGAGAAGAATGAAATGAAAGTAGGCAACAAAAATCTTTTTATTCCTTACCACGAATGACGTTAGATTTGTTCGTGGATGGAACAAGGCATAAACCCTCTATAAGTTGATATGTTTTCGAATTTTACTTTCATAATGTAAATATTCTTTCATTTCTTTCATTAAGTAAATAGTTGTGTAATTTCTATCTTGAAGATTGCCTAAATATTGGATGTATGAGCTGAGCTGTCTGATTAATTATTGGCCTTTTGGGGAGTATGTTGCAGTTTCTTTCAGATGATACATATTTTGGTATGAAGATGGTTTTTACCAGTTCAATGTTGGTTTTTTTTTTTAAAAAAAAAAGTGTACCATAATTTGCTACAATTATTAGGGTATGTTTGGCAAGGTTCTTGCTTTTTGCTTCTACTTTTTGTAGAAGAGTTTTCTAGTAAAGTTATCTTAGGTCGTCAGTTTACTCTAAAAGCTCTTTTAATCAGATAAAACACTTGTAGGAAATTATTTAAATGAATTTAGAAGTCTTGCCTAGCAGATTCTTAATTGTTGCATTTGACATTATTCGATTAATTGATTGAGTTCAAATCTCAGTAATTCTTGGTAAATTAGTGAAAATTAGACGCTAACTTCTGGAGACCATTGAGGGATCAATTTGAACATGTTTGGTTAAACTTAAGAAGTTTACTTATAAGCAAATAAGTTTATTATATTAAAAAAAAAAAAATTGGTCTCTAAAGATTGTAATACTTTTGCTGCTCTTGTATCTTTGGTGTAAATGTCTGATTTTATATAAGGAAAAAAATAATTAAATTCGCACCATAATTTTTATTAGTTACACAACATATTAAGCCATAGTTTGAATATTTATTCTATCAAAAAAGAGTGGTTACATTCACACCATATTGTTTTATAAATAAACTACATTTTATAATTACAATAAAGGTCATTAATTTTTATTCTTTCTCATACATATGTTCTTAACTATTTTATTGCATTCATATCCTTAATCTTTCATTTATTAGCACAACTTGTCTCTAATAACGATCTTCAGCCAAAAATTTTGTTGATGTGCTTTAAAATGATAAACAAATATTTAATTATAAATTTGTATCTGTATTTGTTATTTACTTTTTTTGCTTATTTAAGAATATGTTGGACAAATAAATATTTTTACTCTATGTCGATGTATTTTTTTAACTAAGAATAAGATATGCTAATCAATGATATATTGAGAATAAAAATATGATTAAAATATACTAAAGACACAAGTATAACAATAAGAGCATGTTTGGCTGAACTTAAAATCCAATTAAAATTGAAAATATAGCTATTATTGAATTTCACTCGTCTAATAAAAGTCAACAATGACGACTAATTTTTCAATTTTAAATAAAAGTTACGAATCTTCTAAGCAATTAAAATGTTGTGTTTATTAAAAAACGCGATGTTATATGTAACCAAATAAAAATAAGAAGGGCACGACATTTTTTTTTACTAATTACACCATATTTTAACAGCACCATGATCTTCAAGGTTTGCTCTAGCACTTGTGTTCTCAACTTTTTTTTTTTTCGTCCAATTTTATCTTCAACTTTCAAATTAGTATATATCATATCTCCTAACAGTTTCCATCTGAAGAATCCATTGGAAGAGTGTTTTGCCCACCACATTTAACAAAAACAGCCCAATAAATATGAAAATGCATCAAAAAAATTTCCTAACATTTTAAAGTGTGCAAACGAAATATTTTTGACAGATGGAAAGATACCATCATCAACTGGAAGTTCGAAAATAAAAATTCAATGAAAAAAAGATAAAAAGACATAAGTGTCACTCTAAGCAAAACTTGAGGACATCGAGTGCTATTAAAATGTGGTGCAGCATTTTACAATTGTGATGTCTTTCTAACCACCGGAATGAGAAAGGTGCAGACGAAAAGCAACAACATACAATGCCATGATTATAAGTAGCAAAGGAAAAACAGAACAGCAAAAGTCTAGTAAATTTCAATAAAATCTCATGAATCAATGTTCCGATGGCAACACATAATAACTAGTTCTGGTTCAAAGAAAATGACCTTTTTAATAAACTGATCGAGAGCTAGTATATTTTAAACTACAAGACCTGGCCCCGACGCTTCATTTGGAATCATGAACTATTAATCATCGAGTCCTCGTCTTGATCATTTTGGTTCTTGAAGCCTTCCTCTCCATCTTTTCTCTCTTTTTTCGAGTCTTCTCATCTTCCTCTGCCCCCTGCGTGATTATTTAAATGCTATGAGAACTGACTGGCCCTACACAATTTAACGTACTACTAACTGTGAAAACCAAAAAACGAAAACAGGGTAAGCGAAGTACGTCTGAACCAAGCGGCAGAAACCCTTTGACAAGTCCAAAAAGTTGATATGCTGCGAATCCAGGTATCTACAGAGCAAAAGATAATCCAATCAAGTTACAACGATGTCCAAACAGAGTTACCAGATTACCAGAAACGTGTATTATGTCTCAACAAGATTTCCAAACTTCAAGTTACAGCATGTCCGTGCATTGATACTCTCTTCAAATATTCATCAGAATTTAGACTGAGAATTTCGATTGGGTCCAGCAGAGATTATTTCAAGAAAAATGCTAACATCCAACTTAATTATTAGTGACCCGTTAAAATTCAAACTATGCCAGCTACATAAGCTGTGCTCGCATCAAGTTATCAGCCTACAGCTCCAGATCGTTGATTATGCGTCAAGGAAATTATCATATGACTAACACGCGCGATCTCTGATAGACTTCTGTCGAGCTCTAGAAGAACCCAACAGAATTGAGAAGTAGTTAACAGTAACAAATTCTGTTAGATATAGTTACAAAATACTTATAAATAGAGAAGAGGTAGAATGTATTAGGGGAGGAAAATATTGAGTAGTTGTTTGGGCCAATTAGGAGAGCTCCAGGCCTCTCGAAAGCCTTGGAATTGTTCTTTCAATTTCTGTTTTCATTTCATCAGTTCATCTACAGTTGTAACTTCTTTTAACAATTCAATAAACAATATATTTCATCCCTTCTTCTCTTCCATAATCCTTCATCAAAATGATCACCTGTATAACCAACAGCAGCCATCAGGAACCTATCAAAATGATTAGCTATCGGGAACCTATCAAAATGGTATCAGAGCAGTTAAGATGGGGGAAAATGTCTCTTATAGATCAAGTGGTAGCCTTGGAGATGAGAATTGATGGAATTCAGATGGAAGTGCATTAAGGGCTGGGCACACTGAAATCTGAAATGAAGAGGGCAATGGCTAGGATGATGGAAAAATGGGACGAGCAAGGGCAGAAAAAGGCCGGGCGGCTGCACTGCCTAAACCGGATGAAATTGGGGCAATTACACTTGAATCGGATGAAATTGGGGCAATTACTGACAGTTGTAACCACAGAGAAGAACATAAAGGCAGAGGCACGAGGTTGTAGGCTGGAAATGCCGATTTTAGAGGTACTTGAAACTCCATTGTTGGCAAATTCTAAAGCTGTGATGGAAACTGATGTCAGGGTGATAAAGCCCATGGGTTTGGGTCATGTTAGGGAGCAGGCCCAATGCGTGGAAGACAGGAATGAATTAGTGAAGCAGGCCCAAATGAATTACAGTCCAAATGGAAATAAAAATAATTCCCTTTCCCAAACTCTTTTAATGATCCATACTTATACGCAAATACTCACCCAAATATCTCAACTCACTCAAAACAAATCATCCACCCAAAAATTAACATTGCCATAGTGCTTTGACCACCGGAAATGGCAAGGGAAATTCCTTCGGTAGGTTCAACTGGTTATGGGATTTGTATAGATAAAATTCTAATTCTAGGTGGTCGATTGACTACATGGGTTAACAGCTGCAGCAAGCTTACTCCAAATTTGATTCCGAATTTTGAAGTTGAACTATACTTCCACCTTGAGGACAAGGTGGATTTTGGAGTGGCGGGTAATGATACACTCCTATCAAGCTCTAGAAGGACCCAGCAGAATTGAGAAGTAGTTAATAGTAACAAATTCTATTAAATTTGGTTACAAAGTCCTTATAAATAGAGAAGAGGTAGGGGGAGGAAAATATTGAGTAGTTGGTTGGGCAAATTAGGAGAGCTCCAGGCCTCTCGAAAGCCTTGGAATTGTTCTTTAAGTTTTTGTTTCCATTTCATCATTCATCTACAGTTGTAACTTCTTTTAACAAATTTAATAAACAATATATTTAATCACTTCTCTTCTATAATCCTTCAGCAAAATATCACCTGTAGAACCAACAGCAGCCATCAGGAACCTATCAAAATGATCAGCCATTGGGAACCTATCAATCTCAAACTTAAGTTCCTGCGAAGAAGACCTTTCTACAAACTCAAGATTGATGGTAATGGACTGTGGACCATTTTCCGAAGAAAGCAAGCAATTTAGGTATTGTGACATTTTTTACGACACCAGAAATCCTACCTAATTAAAGCTATCCTACATTACATGATAGCACAGCATTTATACTGTATAACACCAGTGAACACAGTTGTGATGCCAAAAAACCTTTAGTAGTTCAACCCAACACCTATATAGTGTAAGACTCATTATAGTCATGCCACTCATCATGTTACGGAATTAACTAATGCAACTTTTCAAGATAACTACAAAACAAACATCACAATAGTCTGACTCAGTCAAGCATAATCATATGAACAACTGATTGTTAAAAGTAGAATAGCAATGCATCTCAATATTGCATGAAACAAGGACCATTTTTCTAAGTCTCACCAGGTATCTCATTTTATTCAGGTGAACCAGGAAAATAATAGAAATAGAAACAATCTCAGCTGATCAGTACTGTTGTGGCCCAAAACTCTTACCTATTCTTTTCAACCACCAACAGTTTCGCTAGAAAATTATGTCGGTTATTTTATTTTAGGATCTGCAGACTTATATAGTTGGAACTTCAATTTGCTGGTTAATGCAATCTATTGGAATGGATACTGATAGTAATATCACTTTAAAACTAGTCCACGTGCAACTGTGCAAGTGAAGCTTGTAAGCAGAGAGGCCACCATGTTGACTAGGTGTGAATAAAATAACAAAAAATCCAAAATTAGCTGTATACATGTCAATAATAATCCACAGAATAAGAATATGCAAATTAAAGCAATGTTCTTTACACCAAATAAAGCCCCTGTTTGGGCTTCATTCTTTTAAAAATGCATTTTTCTCTCTTATTTTTTAACCACACATTCTCCAATAAAATAATATTAATTGTAAACCCAAAACTTTTCCTTATTTTTTAACCACACATTCTTCAAAAAATCATTATTCCAAAATACATTTTCCCCAAAATTTATTTTTAATGGAGCCCAAACAGGGGCAAAAAGTGAAACAAAATGAAGTCTTTGTCACATTTGCAGTAAATAAATTTCCTTCAAATTCTCCAGAGTACAAAAGCTTCATTGCTAGTTTAGCTCTTTTTATTCTGCTTTCCAAATTGACAGACTCATGCCTCAAAATGTTATGCTGAGTTTCCAGAAACTCATAAGCTATTAGAGAAATTCATAATAAACCTATTCTATAACTAAGGTAGACTACACCTCCTAGAGTTGGCTTTCCCTAAATGATGTTAAGTGCATTGCTAAACCTATTTAATTTTCTTTCTTTTCTTTTAGGAGCAATAAATGAGGTTTTAGGTAAAAAAAAAGATTTGAACTGGGATCTTACCACCAAGTATATGTACCAAAATTTTTCAGAAATGATTGTAGTGACTTGGACAAAACATGTAATGTAGATTATATCATGTAAATATCTGCAAGAAAAGCAACACAAAGTAAAACAGTTAGTTATCTCCATGAAAACTGTTCTAAATATATATACAGTAGAATACGAATTTTAGATAATGCTACGAAACTAAATCTCAATACTGAAGAAGAACATCATATTGCCTGGAAATTGGTGGCACCTTGTAGGCAAGTAAAAATAAGAGTGCAGAATTATTTTTTTTACAGGACAGTTCATTCTTGTTTTCGTCTTAGGAAATACTAGAGTGGCAGCAAGCTATCACAAGAGAAAGGCAATCTTGACATTTTGCTTAGAGTTGGCCGTCAAGCATATTCTGTTAAATATAAGACAAGATTTTACACACTGAATTACTTTGTTTAGGTTTTTTTCCTGTGTTTTATGCATAAAGCAGACTAAACAATCTTCTCTAGCTAAGCACTTGGCTTGATCTGGTGGACCACAAGTCTTAAAAAATTTAATATCTCACTGAGGTTTGATGAAATCCTATATAACATGATTCAGTGAGTTCAAGATGAGAGAAAGTCCACCAAACTTGAAAAAAAGTTGTGAGGAATTTTATATTTTCTAAAATTTATATATATATAAAAAAATAATATATATATATATATATACACCCCATGTAATTTTACATTGAAAAATTTACACAGAGCACGACTTTTTCGAATATAAAATTTCGAAAATTTTGATGTCATATCCCATGTAAAATTTTTTAATAAAATGATGTAAATTATATTGAGAAATTTGTATCACAAAAATAATAATAATCGAAATTTTAAAAAAAAAATACGAGTTAGACGCCTCTTTTTAAGATGCACGTTTGACACATCTTTAACTATTTTCAATATCTATTTGGACCATTCGATATGCATATAATATAGTTCTCAAAACAAGCTTCGAGCTGAAATGCGATTTGTGGATTCAGCTAGCGTATGATTGTTGGAGAATTTTTAAAGTTAGCATGATATCGAAATTCTCGAAATATTAGTTTCGAACGGCCTACTTTGACAAGTCGTAACATTTGCTATGGTTGGCCGTTTCGCACGCCATTAACGACGTAGAAAACAAGGCCTTGAGCACTCCGAAATGGTATTAAGAATACAATATTTCGACTTCGTTTAACATCTCATAATAACTTCGAAAAAAAATAAAAAATTCACCAAAGTCCACCACCTGTGTCTGCCCCAGCTCAAGATGCTTTTGGCAAAGGTTAAACTCCTTTGATTTACTCCACGGTGTAAGAAAATTCAGATTACGTCGTGAAATTCAGATTACGTCGTGATTTACTCAAAATTATCACTAAAAACCCAAAAACAAATATAAATAGCATAATATCCTTGCTTTCCTCAGATCATATACTTAGAATTTTTCTATAATGCTTAAATTTCATATAAAATGACCACAACTTCATTAGGCTTATAAGAGCTTGATTTCCCCTACCTATTCTGTATATGAATAACTACAACCAAAAGCAACCCATGAAATCTAAACGATGATTCTGCCTTCAACAATAATCAATTCATCACTTCATCAGTTTATTGAACTTCAAAATTTCTTCTTCATTGGTGCCCATCAATATAGAACATGATACAAATGCCAACAAAGTGATCACAAGGATTCCCCAGAAGACAATTTACTTTTTTCCTCAATGTCAGACAGATGTCTTTCATAATGCCCCCAGAAAGAAAGCACCAATGCCATCAACACTTACTTTCAGGACAATATGGATTGTTCAATGACACCAACAATGTATACTAGAGAGTAGAGACCAACCAAACACCACACACACAATCATGTCATGGACAAATAATTATCAAGCATTAGAGTATTAAACAACATGTGCATGCTCTAGAAGTAAAACACTACCTGACCTCTACCATATTTCAAATTTACCATGACCAGTGATCCCACATCAATATTTCTGGACGTTATTGCGATTTGCGACATCCTGTTTTTGTTATAATCCAATATCAGGTTGTTGCCTACTCAGGGTAGAGATAAAAGGAATCCTTGATCAATCACTTTTAGCTAAGATCCTGTATTATGTCCTTAGCCTTCTATGCGGCTCAAGTTCATTTTTGTTCAGAACTCAATTCAGGGTTTACTCTGAAGATATGGTTTAGCGTTGTTTTCAATATCCATATAAGATTGTAGCTTAAATTACTCACTAAAATCGAATTTGGCTATTTTCCTCGAAATTGAGAAGGTCACACAACAGCTACGACTTGCTGCGTCACCACCAATGAAAGTTTTTTGATTTAGTAAAAATAACCTAAATGTGTCCAATTACCCCGAAATAGAGATCCTAAAACGCATCTAATTCTTGATTTTCCTACATCACTCTACACAATTTAAACAATAACACGAAACCCAACAAAACCCCATAAGAATTAAAATCACGCAACAAAAAAATCGTCATACCCACAAATGCCACCCGTACTCATATCGAACCCGCCATCCAGAAGCTCCCCAGCGTCACTGTAATTAGGCTTTGCCATTGCAGATAGCTGCTTGTATGGAATAACATAGGCTAATGAAGTCAAAATCAAGCCAGCCCAATGCTTCCACGTGAAACTGGAGTGGAAAATCCCGAGCCTTATTACTAGATATATCGCCTGTCACGAATTTTTATCGAATTGAATTAACAAGACCGTAAAAAAAGTACAAAATAAATAAGAAAAAAAAGGAGAAATAATTAGATGGATTTTTAGGTTACGTTTGAGGCGAGAATGAGGCGGAGGAGGTTTCGCATGTGGCGGATGTTTTCCTCTTTCCGTTTCTTCGCTCCCTGATTCGCCATAGCTATACGACGTCGTTTGGTTACGGACGGAAAGGGACTGCCGATTTTGGGGTAGGAGAAATTGTGAAGTTGCCATGGAGAGGCGTGACCAAGGTGAGCATAGGGAAAAGACAAAATAGCAGCAATGGTTCTCAAAGTATTCTAAGTGTTACGTTTTCATCTTGAAGCTTTAAAATCAATCATTTTACTTCCCTACCTTTTACTTTAATTAACAACTATAAAAATATAACGCGATGTATTTTTCAATTTCAACAACGAAAAATACTTAAAAAATGGGAGAAAAACTTAATCATCTTTCTCAACGCTATACTATACAACCACTCTTGCTAAAACCCATTCCCCTCAACTAGTCGCCACCCACTTACATCCCCACTAAAACCTTGATGCTTTTGCCGTAATTCATTATGGTGAACCAATTTTATAAAAATTAAATTAAATTGAACTGTTAACGATTTGACTGAAAAAAATGGTCAAAAATCTTGTGCAATATCAAAACCCTCTAAGGCCCTGTTTGATTACCTTCTTTTTTCCATGGAAAATGGAAAAAGAATTCCATTTTCCAACAAAAACCATGTTTGATTGATAATATTTTCTTGGCAAACCATTTTCTGGCCAGCAGTCCACGCGCTGCCTTTTCCTCCAAATCTTTTTTCCAGCTACTGTCATTTTTTTTTTTTTTGTAATGAAAACAAATTTGATAACCAAGTGTAAAAAAAAAAATTTCACTTTCATGGACAATTTTGATGTAAACAAAGGTCAAACGAACACTAAACTTTGATTAAAAAAATGATTTTTTAGGGAACATTTTTTTTTTTATTTTACGTTTTGGCAATGGAAACAAATTTTATAATCAAGTGTGGAAAAAATTATCACTTTAATGGATAATTTTGATGCAAACGAAAGCCAAACAAACACAAAATTTAAAAAATTTCTAAGTAGTCTTTCCACCATCGCTATCAAACGGACCCTAAAAGAATTTGATATCTATTTATAGTGAATTTTTATTTTATTTAGTTCTACTTCAAATTTTATTGTAAAGTATTATTTTTGCTTATTGTACCCTTGATTTACATCTTAGGCCCTTAGATTTATTGTTTATCATAATTTTAGGGTTTTTTTTGTTTTTGCTTATTATTATAATCATATGTATCAATTGATTCTTTAGCTGTTTAATGCAAACATTTTTTCTTTTCCGTTGTTATTTGGGTTTGAAGTTAAAATTTTTAACCAATGCATTGTCTCTTGTTATTAGAAGGGAAGGCACATAATGATGAATAAATTGAGAAAACATATGGAGCTCTTAGGTTAGAAACGGAGAGTTTAAAATATGGCCAAAGAAAATTACAATGTCTAGAAGATGTGAATAGTGATTTTGATAATTTGGAAAAGAGAGTATCTTTAGCGATTTTTACCTTATTTACTCGTGGCAATGATTTTAGGTGTTGGTCCGGTAGGTTGGTGGTGGGGTGGTGGTCATTCGACAATGGTGCGAATGACATAATGGCATTTTTGGGTTTGGCGGGTGGTGGAGGTTGGATGATACGTGGAATAAAATTCTAATGAAGACAAAATTGCTACAAAAAGAAAAGATTGATAAATAGAGCATTGGAGGTTCAAAAATCTAATTATTTTTGTACTCGAAATAGAGCATCTCGAGTAACATTCTTTAATTTAAAAAGCATATCTTTTAAAATGAAAGAACATCTTGAAGAATAATTAAAAATAATCTCTATTATCTGAATACAAGTTCAACAATACTCGTTATATTTAATCTGAAAGAAGTGCATGGAAAATTATCTGAAGAAACAAACATGACCTCTTAATTTCTGCAATGAATAAGATTTTCTAATATAAATCTGGTTCAAGAACCACAAAAAGGAAATAAAACAGATACCATTATTCCATGATATCTGCCTCACTGGCTGAACACAAGTATTCAATCCAAACTACAAATTCCTCTCTTCCCAAAGAATCAGACCGTAATCATCATCGTTCAAATGGTAGAATAAGTCTGCTTTGTCTCTGTTTTTCCCTTTTTTTAAAAAAAAATAAGTAAGTTTTGATCTTATACCCGGGCTAGATCTTGAGAGGCAAATAAATTTTTCATAACATGGCACATTTGATATCTGCAAGAAAACAGATCACAATGAGTAACTGGAGAAAGATATGTCTCGATTCTGATTCAACAAGCTGAAGTTAAACATAAACACGTACCTTGGTTCCTATAAACCAGTACCTCATTGCAAATGAGGGTTCCATAGAATGAAAGAATATCACAATTCATATGTACTTGCTGGTTACAAAACTGACTAACTAGGTAACCATAATGCATGTAGTCCAAACTTTACGGTTAATTAGAAGTTATTTTGCCTATATTTCCCCGCTCAGCAGTAGAATAAAATCAATCAAATCTTGAACAAATTTGACGAAACCTGAAAAGAAATAAGTACTTAATAATTAGAAATTCCGAGTATAAATTATTAAAGCAAACTCAAAAGTACTTAATAACTAGGAATTCCGGGAAAAAAAAATAGAAGCAAACTAAAAGGTCTGACCAGTTTACGGAATTTTCTTGCAGAGTGCAAACTAACAATCATAAACACAATCAATCAGATTGAGGTCGACTCAATAAAGCAAGTCTTACACGAGGTTAGCACATCAAATACTCATTAATGACGGTGATGGGCTCAATCTTATACATTTTAGCACAAAACAGCTTGCCAGAAACACTGTTAGAGCTACCTTCAGAACAAGTTTTAGATGTAATGTAAGACCAAGCAAGGCAAGAGGACAAAATGTCAAGCAACATCATCAAGAAATCTGAGCTGTCACGTAATCATAATAACTCTTTTGGTCTATGATTGACTTTTTTTTTTAAGTGATGAATTAATTGGTAAAGAGATACACCATCTCTTCAAAATCAACCAAGAGCTTCTTCCACTTTTCCCCTTACATCATGATAAGAATCAGATATACAGTTATTAAGGCATGGTACTAAAAAAAATCAATAAACATGCGATTGAGGACCCAATAAGAAACAAAATGAAGAAACTTCTGCAGGGAAACCAACACTACCTTCACATGGTGTGGCATGATTTTTATATCATAAGGTACATGAAGCCATGCTTCTGGTGGATAGAACAAGAAGTTCTCTGGCTTGCTGGTATAAACATCGGCAAATTGATGGATGTGGTAACTAAATGCAGATTCTTGACCAGTGTCGGTAAGAAATGTAGCTCCAAATGACCCATTAAACATGGTTTTCATAGTGCAACGTGCCTTCTGCCTCTCTTCGTTGAGCTCCACAAGAAGAGACTTGTATGCTTCACTCTCACTATTAGAAACAGTGGAATGCAGTTTGCCAAGAAGTTCTTGTACTATATGAAACTTCGCCTGTTGCAGAACGTGTTTTATAAAAATAAGCACAATAAGAAAATATAGCGAAAACAATGGGTCTTATCATTCAAGGAAGGAGAAATGAAATATTTTTTTCGACAGTACGCCATATGATACAAGTCGAATCAGACAGAGGTGCTTAGAAATTTCCATGTATATTGATGGCAACAGTTAGAAAGTATAAGAGATGGGCAAAAGTGGAAATGCAAGAAATTCAAATAACTAAAGGTCCGTTTGATAGGCAAAGGTGGAAAGGAATTCCGATTCCATGTTAGTTGGAAAATAAAAATCCACCAAACTCATAGGAATTCGTTTTCCATAAAAACAAAGAAAATACAGCCTAAGGTGGTTGTACCTTGGAATTCGTTTCAATTTCCACGTTGCAATCAAACAGTCAACGTGGAATTCGTTTTCCTCGAATGTGACATTTTCCATGGAAAATGTGGCAATCAAACAGGGTATAAAAGAAAATCTACTTGACCTAGAAGTGATTTAGGAATCATCTATTTATCTTTAGAATTATCAAGTCATTCAAGGATATTTCAAAACCTAATTCAACTACTTTGGGCTCACAATTAGCAATCTTGCGTTGCTTTAAATACCCAAGATTTCAAACCGATCTTTGCTAGCTGTATATTTATGGGAAGGAAAACAATTTAAGAAAATATTACAACTTCACTAGTGTTCCTTTATTCTACATAAAGGTACTGAAAAAACACATAAACTCAACTACTTCTCCCACGTAAGGAGAAAAAAAACATTACCTAATTTATTCCAGAAAACATAAACATAAGCATAGAAATCGTTTACAGAATATCTATGTCAGAAAACTAGTTTTAGAATACTTCAAACTTCCAAGAGGTTACCTGTTCAAAACGATAACTATCCTCGTTCTGGATCCGTATCTCATTCTGCAGACGATAAATAATAGATTTATGTCATCCAAAATGACAGTTATAAACAGGAATGGGATGTAAAACATATTCAGATACACGCATGGATGGACTTCTTCAACAAATGAAAATATGGATAGAAAATGTGTTAATCAGACATGGTTGTCACCAAATGTTGCCAAGCCAAGTTCGTAATCAACTGACAAGAAACAATTAAAATCACAAAAGGCAGGAAATAATTTGAGTTTCACCATTTGCAGAGTTGACATATTATGAGACATCTGACACAGCATCAAACACAACTTAGAATGCCGAAGCTATATAATAATGAATTCTAGTGGTACAAAGTAATTTTTAGAAAACATATACAGCCAAAAATTTGAAGAACCTTTTACATATTCTCTGCTACTCTTTTTGTCCTTCAATTATTTCTAAACTATGAAGCGCGGACAGGTGCGTGTCCAACATGTGCCGTGACATGTCATGTTTTATCAGACACCGCACTCCTCATCCAGCTCCAAGACATGTGACTGACAAGTCATGTGCCTTGTCCTATGTTTTATATGTCAATTAAATTTCCAACACTAAAAAAAATACCACAGAGACAATCTTTAGTACGGCTGGACATGCTCTGATTCGGTTCTCCTTAGAACTGAACCAAACCCAAATTTTCGGTATTTAGCAAGTGGAACCGTCATGTCCAAATTTAATTATGGAACCGTTAGAATTCGATAAGGGTTTGGTTCCTTTTGGTTCTTGAGTTTCGTACAATAATTAATTTTTTTTAATATTTACAACGCTACATTAATCCACATGTTCAATTTTAGCTCTTACAAAATAATGCAGTGCAATCCCGTGATATCTTTTGCTCGTCTTTTTGTTGAGTTTTTCATAGATTTGGCTATTAAAATCACAAGGGAAAGATAGCGAACTCACAATAGTAAAGAAAAACTTCCAACTAGATTTCTCCATAACGGCAAAAAAGCACTACAGTAGAATAAAAAATTTGGATAAAATTTAGGTCAATTTAATTAATTGGACTTGGGCTGGAAATTGGAAATTAGAAATATGAAAAATCATATTTTGGGTTTGTGCTAAATTAATTAGTTAGCAAATTTATTTAAAAAAAATAAAATAATTTGATTTATTTAAGATAAAAAAATTAGGCATATTCAGTTCTTATTTGGTTCTCCGTCTAGAATCGAAAATCAAACCGAACCCGTCGATTCTTGATTCAAATACTTGTTCGGGTATTTAACTTAAGAAGAACTGTTCTGTTTGATTCGGTTCGAATCCGGTTCGGTTGGTTCGAGAGTTTTGTCCAACTCTACTCCTTGGGCAAGTGTGTGACATGTTATACTATGTCCTATATTTTTTTTTTTCAAAGGTCTATGTCCTATATTAAAAAGTATAAAAATGAAATAATAGATGTATAATTTTAAAGAATTTAAAAAGGTGTGTTGGTGTCCTACATTTAAAAAAATCACGGAGTGTGTGTCAGTGTAGTGTTGTGTCGTGTCGTGCCCATATCTGTGCTTCTTGGTTTCCAAACAAGAACTCCAAAGTCATACGATCATCACCAATGTAGTCACGCCATTGGAAATCATGACCATTATGAAAGCAAGACTCATGTCTCGCATGTAGGAGCATTAATCGAGCTTTAAGAAGCTTATTCTCAAGCTGTTCACAGGCAGCTTGTTCTCCAGAGTTTGATTCAACAAGTTCAAATTGAGTATTTTAATTTCTTAGCATGTCCTTGCCTTTTCAAAATGGTTCAGACCTTGGCTTTACAGATATATGATGCCAACAGAACCCAATTTGAATAACTGTTAATGATTCTACAGATTTGCAGCTCAATATGAAGAAGCCCCGAAAGTTTAATTACATTTTTAACTAGTCCTTTTCTCATCCACAAAAATGTGTGTTATATATGTAAGTTCCCTGCCTCTTAAGAACAACTTGGCAATGCATATGGAAAAGATCTCTACGACATCTCATTTTCTCCTTTTGGGAGACGACCTACCACTGACATAGACCTTCTTTTCCTGATAAACTTTTCTATAATACCTACATATAAAACCTTTTAAGTTTCCTTCTGAATGCTCATTTAAAAGCAATGCCATGTTTTCCCAGGACTAGTATAAAGTCCAGTTTGTAAACAGTCTAACATTCTTTATCCAGATAAGGAATGATGCAGAATATGTATGTATCCACAAATTTGAAAAGTGAAGAATTGAATGCATACTTCCAATTCGTGGATAATGGCAGCAGTACGCCACCCTGCTTTCGAAGGCCCTCTCAAGTCACTAAATAGGTGATCCCCAAAGTATATCACCTAAATATTTGAAGTAAATTGTCAATGGCAAAGTTGATAGTTACAGAAAAATGGCTCGTTAATTTGGCAATTCACTTTGCTCAAATAAATCAAACATGTAAGTCCAAAAGCACAGCTCGTTAAATAGTGTACCTCTGGACCATTCCACTTAGTTATTTGCAAAAAAGTCTTCAGGCATCCATGGTAGTAAATTTTGTTCGGAAGAAAAGCATCCACCTTCGAAAAAGCCAAGGTGTCCTTCTCCACATCATAACAGCTATATGGAATTTACAAAATTCATAAAGAAGAGAGGAAAAGGGAAAATAATCAGATCGCATGTAGCGGAATGTCGTGAGTTTAAAGAACAAAGTTCAAAGGTAAATTTCTCCCAGAATCCATTTAATCAGAATCATAGAAAAATGATAAGCCACATATAGATATCAAAATCTCTCATCCACCCACAAGGCATTTTGAAGGGATGAACTAAATCTTATAAATCTTGTGGAGGATGGTTAAATTTAAACGTCCATATTGTTTATTCATTTGTTATCCCAAGGAGATCTCAAAAATGTAACATTCGAGTCACAATCTATGCTTTACGGCATCGAACTTCAAACAGTATTATATCTATTGGTTAAGATTGCTGCTGACATTGTTGACATTATAAAATCAGTCAAATATCAAGTATTAAATTCTTCTGCAGTAATTAACACCATATGTCCATGATTGGCTATATAAAAGATCATACAGACAAACTTGTAGACATATCCCTTGGACATGAAGCAAACAAAAAATTCTTCTTTATGTTTGTTTTGAAGGCTTCACTCTGGGGCAGCAATCACTGTTTAATTTTATGACCTGGGAAATGCAACAGATTTGACAAAATGAATTTTTATTTTTCATTTATACCCTTAAGTGATAAGTGGACGAATAGATGTTGATTCAATTTCAGCTTTAAAAAGAATGATGCCACATGCATAGACAACTAAAGAAACAGCAATTAAGCAAGTTTTCATCATACACAAAATTCCAAAAATGACAGAAATTGCAGGGATGGAGAAGAGAACCGAAATGGATGCTCAGATGTGTAAAACTCTGGTTTGTTGGCTTTAGCAATAACGACATCAAAAAGTTCCCTCCAGGAGTCTAGGTATCCCAAAGAATCCTAGTCGACATGTGAGACAAAACGATTAGTAACATATTTCAGTGTTTCAATCCAAAATCCCATAGACGGAAAATGAAGTAGATAGGAGATAGAATTGGTGATTTTAAAGTGACACTCCCAAGTAGTATGAGTAGATAGATGCACTTAAATGGTTAGAACAAAGAATGTAATGCTCAAGTGACAGGGTAGCATGAGCAGGTAAATCTACTCAAATTATTCTAACAAAGAAATACAGTTCCATTTCTGAGGCATATGAGAAATGCAGTAAGAAGTTATATGGTAAAAACAATAAAATCATATGCACAACACAACATTTTCCGAATTCATCCAATGGAAAGTTTAGCAGCATAAATAACAGCAAAAACCTGGACTTAACATCTAATAATTTCCTATCACATTATAATTACACTATTGCACATTACCATACCAACAGATGCTTGATAATCATTATCCAAAAATTACAAGCCTTAATTCAAGTTTGCTCTGATAGTGAATAAATAGAAGGCAAATCTAATAAGATTTAACCAGCATAAACTTTTATTGTCAATGTATAGAGAGGGTCACAATGCTTGTTTACTATTTCAGTTCAAAACTCACAGCTTTTTATGTAACACAAAATGATGCAAAGTAACTTTCTATAAAGTGCAGCAGTTTCAGAATCAAGAATCTATAATATGCTACAATTGGTGAGAATAGAGTAACTATCAGTCTCATAAGTCTTTAACTTTTGGTATTCTTATTTCCTAAAAGCAGGCTAAACTTTTATATCTGCCAGCCAATTATAATTCAACCAGACTCCATTAACTGCCCAACCCTTTGCCTGTCAATTGATTTAAATGCTATGCATTACAATTTTTTCTTTTTTTAAATCAAAATCAGGCTTCTCTCCTCTATGATTACTTCAATGCCTTTTTGAGGCTTCTACTCAATCTCCAACAGTTCACCATCAAAGGAAAAAAATAAAAAACCATGTATTATTGTGAACTGCAATTCTTCATGTACATCTTATGATCATAATATGAAAAATAGTGATTTATTTTTTCTAAAGTTTCAATTTGACGCATAAAATTGAGACTGCCAAATTAGCTAGCATTAGTAAAAAATATGTAAGAAACAAAATAAAAGTATAATTGGATCTCATCCAGCATGAAATTTATTAGTCAATGAATAGCAAGGGTGACAATGCTTGTGTACCATTTTAGATTTGCAAATGTCACAGTTCTCATTATGGAGACAGATGTAGGACATTTGCGGCAATTTTTTTTTTTACCTAATATGCAGCTCAAGGCAGTTTCAGAATCAAGATGTAGAGAGAACGGTTTTTCTTGATGATTATGTTATTGGGAAAGGATGAGGCTTATGTACTGACTCTAGGATTGAAAGAAAGAATTATGATGATGGAGTTTCAAAGTGGGGGACGAGTTAAAGAGGATGAATGAGAAGAATAGAGAAGAGAAGAAACCTAACAAGAAGGAAATTGAGAACCCTAACAAAGAAGACATCTCATAGTCATTATAACTTCAGTTAAAAAAGAAGATAGAAAGAGTATCTATAGACTTAAAAGACTTCCCACCAACTGCCATGAATGTAAAAGATTAATAAGTACGCTTTTCCATTTTATAAATATTTAAACCACATCACATTTCCGTCAAACCAAACTGCATTATTTTTAGCTACGGAAATTCATGGTCTTAATTTAAGCTCCAGATGCCTGAAGATTTGTCTAGACAATTAATAGTTCCAGCACCAGAAACGAGCTCTAAAACCCTATTCCCCAGATGAAGCCACTTAGTAGATGGAAGACCAAAAGCTGATTAAACTAGGTGTTAACTAATCAACAAAACCTGAAATAATCGCATATTCATTTTAAATGAAATATTTAGACTTAATTAACTACTTCATGCATTTCCATGCCATGTCATAAGTTCAACAAAGAACAATTAACTGTGCTGCAAGCAAGAGCTCTCAAGGCTTGAATAATAATTTGGGAAATATTTATCTGCATTCTGGAAAAATGCATGCTTTCTTTAAATATTCAACCAATTACTTATGTTTTTTTTTTGTGCGAGCACAACAGCAAAGTTGCTGCATTGTAACTTGGAAGCCACGGGGTTCAACAAATGGAAACCTCGGATACAGTCACATACACCTAACTCTCCTAAGACCCTGCAGGCTGTAGCCCTGTTTCCTGAGTACAACCTATCCATTGTCTAATTTGGACAGTAACCGAACCTATGGAAACTAAAGCAAGCATTGGAAGAGAAGAATGAATAAAAAAAATGTTACAATTTACAATGCAAGAATATCACTTCATCAAAAGCTTTCATTAAATTTAAGAACTATTAACAGATATTTTGTCAATATCAATATACTTCCAATTCATAGAGAACTGAACGGTGCGAACTCATTTCTAAGAAGCCAGTGAAGATTGACTGTGCATATTTCCTAACATGGCAATTACCTCCAACATAAAGCGCATCCCTCCATCCACAAAATAATAGGGAGAGTTGGTCAACATGAAAAGTTTCTTCCCTTTCTCTCTTAGCATCCTTAAAAAGCGTAATAGCTGACCCTGGAGTAGTCATATAAACATTGAAAAATCTGTCACCAGCTGTACCTAATTTCAGAATGAGTTACAAGACACCAAATAATTATAAGATAGTGGCATAAATATAGAAACAAGGTTAACTGGCATACATTCTTTACAAGGTATTTATGTGGATCAGCAAGAATTCCTCTATGAGCTAAGCCACTTCGATGAACATGTTGAATTGCTCGATTCACGTCTTGGTAGACATAACTAGCATCAAATTCCAGCTCAGCCTCAACAAAATGTTGAACAATATCAGCAATAAGGCAAGCCTGCAAACCGTAAGGAAATATTCTGAACTGTTGGCTTTACTGGTAACACTACGGCACTTTTATGGAAACATACATAGAGGAAGCACAGAGGCAACTAACAACACCATGACCTTGCTAGGTCATTAACTAAATGTGCTAGGAGGGATGCTTGGGGAATAAATCCAATGTTTGACACTTTTCTGCAGCCAGATAGTAAATACAGTTCTAGATTCTTACCCCCAAGTACTATATAAGCAATGGAGAATAATTATGCATTATTGGATAATAAACATATTAGAAAAATAAGCTCTATCCTGGACCAAGACTTACGAAGTACACACCCAAGAATGTCTTGCATCAAACAATCAATTACGATTAAGCTACAATGTAGCAACAAAACTTGTGGAAAATAAGATAATTACTGGCACATATTTTAATGGATTATTTCCTACTGAGAATGCCAAAAACAACGCAAAAATTGTAAAATATAAAAGCAACTATGTGTGAAAATGTAAACCAGGAAGAGAAAATAAAACACAAGACGCAGAATATAAGAAATATGAGTGACCAACCTCACTGAAGCAAAAGAAGTCCATCAAACCAACAAGTCCACGTGCTTGATCACGACCAATATGACGTGTGCCATACATATTATTTATTTCTGATCGGCTAAGCTGCATTTGCATAGACAGAGAAAATTAAAGTAGTTTGCAACTTCGATATTGTTTCAAATTCATTTTGCCCAAATCAACAGCATTTGGCTCATTCTGCAGCTCTGAGTAAACCTTCAATACTTTTATATGCAGAATTTTTAAAGAGATAATAAAGGCATCGCCAGTTTGGGGACTCAGGAAGTTCAGGTATAAGAATTTAACACGAGACTGAAGTTGATGGGCATAGATTAGGATATAAAGGTGTTAATCTCGCAAAAAAGAAACAACAATAATAGAACTCATGAACCCCTGTTAATTCAGCAAAACAGGCAAACAAAAAAGAACCAGAAAGCAGTTGCAAGGAAATCATAATATGGTAGATTAAATGCCTAGTCTTTCCAGCAGAATAGCAAAGGCATTAAAGAAAGCCTCCAGATGCTGTATTCTTTCGAGAAGTCACAGATTAATACGTCAAAAACTGAAAAGAAAAACATAAATTTGTAACTTATGACCCCTACTTGAATAGTTGAATTACGTAAACTGCCAAAAATACACCTCTAGGAAATAAAAAACACTCTTCCAACTAGAGATGTTAAAAAACCCTACCTTGCGCCTTCCAAAGTAGCACCCATCAGGTTCAATTGACCCAAAGAAATCCAGCTTCATAAGACACCCTTTCGACTTGTCATAATACAACCCTCTTATTGGAAATTTGTGATCGTATTTAAACTTCAAGCAGCTATCTGGATATCTAAGCTGAAAAGAAATCACAGATAAAGAGAGAGAAAAAAGTGTTTCCCAGATATTCCCAGTATACAAAGAATAAATTCAAACGTAACTGAAGCTTCACATTAGAACATTGTAAACAAACCTCATTAACCAAATACTCTTTGGCGAGATCATATATTAAGCTTTGTAGATTGGAAGAGTAATGAGCCAGCGTGTAGTCATAGTCAAACCCATATACTTGTATATCATCCAACCTCAAGTTCTTATTTACATAAATGCCTAAATTTCCAACACAAATAGCATTATTTCGTAGGTACCAATACAATATCCAAGAGAAAACGTATTGCATACTCAGCTAGGGAAAGAAATTGCAGATAACCTTTAGGATCCAATCTAGGCATTTCTTTTAATGCATCAGGAATTTTAAGAAACCGTCGTTTTGCTGCATCATATTCATGCTGAATGTTTGCAATTTTGTCCTCCGAAATCTGATTTCCTTCCTCTTCTTCCAGTTTTAGTACTCTTTGCTCTGTTGTAACAGTTGTGCTCCATCTTCGTAAAATGTTTCCTCCAAACCCTGCAAATTCCAGAAGCACAATGTTTCCAAATTTTGAATCTAACTGCGTTATTTTTTACAATGTAGAACATTATGTTCTCCCTCTGCTTTAAGCTTTCTTGGTTTTCCATATAGACCTTTCCACATGGTGACTTCATTACAAATTCACTTCTATCTTTTAAAACTACATATATTTTTTTCAAAATGGTGGAGCGTCAACAGAATTGGTATCTACTACTTAAACTAAAAACTAAATGAATCTGTAAATACGTCCATCCCAACATTCATAGATTTGTTCCCCAGAAAAATCAATGATCAAATTCAATTTGAGAAAGTGCCATTATCTGCATTCTTTAACATGGAGTTTGGCCACAACTCTATTTGAGTTTTAAATGTTCTTTTGGTAAATCCTAATCTAAAGTCCCCAATTTGGTGCCTCCAAAAATGGTACATGACATCTTCGATCCACATTTTATATAATTTTTCTTTCACCACACACACACGCATCAAATGATAGAGAATACCTTCCAGATACCCAGAATGACAAGAGTTTGGTCTCTGCATAACCAAAAAAAAAAAAATGCAATTATACAGTTGAAATTTAATACGAAGATTCAAATAAATCACAGATTCGTTATGAAATAAAAAATGGAAGTTTCAAATTCTACGTAGAAATTCGAAGATCTGGATGCATAAAAATACGAATATTTCTTTATGAACAGTTAAATTACCAAAAGATAAGAACTGCTGCGCAATAGTCTACTGCAAACCGACGCCATCGAGCAAGTTTATAAAGTTTCTTTCGTCCGTCCGGGAGATTATTTCTTATGGAGATTGATTTTGATGCATCGCATAATTAGGGTTCTCTGTTGAGTTGAGAAATTTGAAACATTGGCAAAGGCATTATATGTATGAAGTTCGCGCCGCCATTTCCGAGCAAAGAGATTACACAGCTTTCTTTTACCGGAACGCGCATGTGGAAAAATATTCAAGAAAATGTCAAAAGTAAACGTTTTATTATTACGACAAAAATTGTGACACGTTTCATCCGCCGATTAGTTTTAATCTCCTGTTTGGACCACATTATTTTTTTCATTCTCATTCTTCTACTCATTTTTAACTATACATTCTTCAATAAAATAATATTTTCCATCACATCAATAACTTTTCCTTATTTTTCAACCTCATATTTTCCATCACATCACTTCAAAAAAATGCATTCTCTCATTTTAATGTGTACTAAACGGGCTCACTCTTTTTGGAACATTTTTAATGGATTTGACGTAACGTTTTAAAAAGTGAAAAGGAGCTTTTAAAACCTAAAATCTGCTTTTACGCTCGTTCGACTAAGTTTAGAAAAGTGATCGTGATGGCAACGGAACGGGTTCAGAGCGCCGGCTTGCCCCGTTTGTTAGTTTTTTTTTTTTATTTCCCTTTAAAATACAAATTCAAAATTTTAAAATCCAAAACAAATAATATTCAAACTAATTACATCAATATCCAAAGCAAGCATTCGAAACAAAAAATATCCAAAGCAAACAATATTCAAAACATTTTTTTTTAAAATTATTTACGGGGCGGGTTCGGAGTGGCAAACCCCGCCCCGCCCAGCCCACCCACCCGTCCGTTCATGGCGGATTTTTTTGCCCCATTCGGGACGAGGAAAATTGTCATCTCTAAGTTGAAAGAGTTTTTAAAAGAAAATGGTACAATATGGTTTTCTCTCAAAATACTTTCGAAGTTGGATGTGTTTTTAAAAATTAGTTTTCAAACAAAAATCAAAGTAACTTCCTTAAAAAACTCTTCTACAGGAAGCAAAACAAAAGTTTACACTGTAAAATATTTTGTACGTAAATTTAAAATTTTTACATGTAAATTCAAAATTTTTCCCTAGTTTTTAACCATAATTCTCCTTAAAATACTATTCAAAACTTTTTTTTTTCTTTTGAAATAATGGGCACTTGTAGAGTAGTTTTATTAATAATTATTTTTATATTTCATAATTAATATAACCATCCTATTAAAAAAAGGTCATTAAATATATTCCAAAAATAGTATATTCTCACTGACTTTGATTTCTAGGTTCATCGATATATATATTAGTCAAAAGCTACCATCTATTTTGATCAAGGGGGTACCAATTATTCACTTACTTTAATATTAAAGTCAATTGGACTCTATTAGTGATTGAATATAATGTGCGTTTCAATTAACCGTTGAGTTTATTTTATATTGGATAAATCTATATGTACATAATTATTGTACATAATGAATTACATAGGCCCATATGAAAGAAATTCGACCGTGGATATGAAGTGTGAAAATGTCAAAAACTTTTATATTTATTTTATTGTTAACATGTTGTGTGCAAGATGTTGGTCAATTGATAATATAAATCTCGAAATGTGTGTTAGTTTCGGTTTTAGTTCGATCGAATTATCTGTTTGAGCTTAATTAATACAATAACCATATAAAACCTGATATTTCATCTTAAAATATCAATCTTATTCAAATGAGTAGTTCATTTTTCGATATGAGATCTAACTTTACTAGTTATATGGAGCCATATTTTTCTTCCAATCATTCAATTTTTATATCACACTTTTTGTTTTATATCCCCTTTTCATCGCATTTTTAAGTGTCGCGGAGAGCATCATAATCTTTAAAATTCACCTCCATCTAACTCTATTAAAAATTTAAAAATAAATATAGAGATTGTTTGGGTCCCATTTTATTGGAAGAATATATTTTGAAATAGTAGACTGATGGAGAATGTGTGGTTTAAAAAAAATTGGATTTACGTGTAACATTATTTTATTAAAAAATGTGTGGTTGAAAAGAATATAGGAAAAAATGCATTTTGAAAATAATGTGGAACCAAAAAGGGCATAATAATTTAAATGGAGAAAAGTCATGAATCTAAATAACCAATATATGTAGATCACCAATAACTATGTATTGTCAATAATTAGCAACAAATGACACATCCCTGTCAACGATTATCGATGACAATGTTGTCATGATTTGGTTGTTGAATGCCGACGTAGAAGTTGGTGATGAAATGACCATAAGTTTATTCTTGCCTTACTTCTTTGAAATTATTTGTAGATAATGTAATATACTTTTTATTTATAATATCATGGATAAATAAGTAATTGCAACTGCTTTTATTTTCAATGAAAATTCTCTTTGTTAGTAATTAGTTTGTATTGTTCGTGTAATTGTTCGATGAGGTATACGAGATTGCTCCGTCCCCTAATTTCATTACTAGTGAAATTTTCCTCGAGACTGTTTTATTACCGATGAAGTTTTCTTTGATAATTATATTTATTAAAATATTTATATATTTCAAAATAAGTTACCTGTTCATTTTTTATTTTTTTAAGTAAGAAAATTCATTTATTTTAGAAACTACCTATAAGTAAATATTTAAAACTTTGCAAAACACACCCTAAATCATGACCGAAGAAATTAATCAAAACACACTTAACACATTACGTTACACTCCATTCGTCACCAATTTTCATCACCTTCATTACATCACTTGTAATAAAATGTGTTAATACACATATTATCATCTATTTTTACAGTCATAGTGGATGTTATCACAGTAGTCATCACCATTTGTAACATTTAATGTTATACCGTCGCCACCACAGTAGTCATCACCACTTGTAACATGCAATGTTATACTGTCGCCACCACTAATAACATTTATTGTTACACAACTTCTAGCAAATACTATTGATGCCACTTTAAACAACCACAAACCACCAAAATTTAACCACCATAGCCGCCACTACAAAATCAATATCATTTTCATCAACACAACCCCATCTCGCCACCATAACTACCATCTCCAATATGGCAATCTACACCACAACCGATATCAACACCATTCACCACCACCCGACCCAAAATCCATCTTCGAACAATTAATCCAAGATCACTACTAGATTTGAAATTAAACCACCTCGACCCTAAATCATATGAATCACATCTACACCACCATCATTGCATGCACCATCACACTACCGGAAGAAGGAGGTGATATGCAACGCCACTATAATGGATACAAGTTTAGATATGAATTTTTTTTTTTTTTCAAATCTGAAAATAAAATTTCAAAAATAAATTGTCTTCCTCTTTTTATTATTTGAATCTTGCAACGAAATTTGAGAAAAAAGAATAAATAAGACGAGTTTTATTTTTGCAGGATTCATCGAAGAAGACGACGTCTTCATGGAAGAAAATGGTGATGATTGGTGGTTGTAGTGGTGGAAGGAGGAGGAGGTGGTGGTGAGCTGGTTGTCTGTTGTTGTGAATGTGCGTGCGTCGAGGGTAGTGTGTGTTAGGTTATGTGTTAAAAAAATAAGTATTTATGAAATAAAATAGTAATAGTAGGTTTGTAATTTTAAAAGTATGAGTGGTGTTTGGAGTAAATTTCCCTTATTACTTGCTTGATGCCCATACGATCATACTTATTCTTTTATAATGTTGGGAAAATTACCCCAAACCCCGCCTTTAAAGTTTCAATTTCAAAAATCAAATCTTATTAACATTTTTTCAATAATCAGATAATAGTTCATCTTTTAAATATTAATAATAATATAATAAAATTTAATTTAATCAATATATTCATTCCACCCCACCAGCATTCATTTTAATCCAATTTCATTTCAAAACCCTAATCACGTTTCTTTATCTTTTCTCTCTCTACTTTCTTCCTTCTCTCCATAATATCTCCTCTCTATCACAAACAACCATTAGTGATACCGTTGCCACCGTCGGCGATGCTACGTCCATCGCTGTACCAACATCGCTCCGAAGCAACTAGCGTAAACGGCGCTCCATTGGTCTTCGCTCCAATGGTATTCGCTTCCTGTCGCTGTGACCAAATGATGTTGTTGTGTAGTGGCGCCTCTGTCTTCACCATTGTTCAGCCTCTTCCAGTAGCAGCATAAGCGGCGCTCCAGTGGTCTTCATTGCTCTGTAGAGGCATCTATGCAGTGGTGTTCTCATCGCTGGTATGTGATCTCCGGTGGTTGTGTAGATCTGTGCCGCTATGTAGAGCATCTATTCGGTGGTGTCTTCGCCACTGTTATGTGATCTCTTGAAGTTGTACAGATGTGAGCGATGGACTGTGCGTGGTGGTGTCAGTGTCGGTGGTAATTGTGGTGGTGGGTTACGGTGGTGGCAGTGGTAAAAAGAGTAGTGCTAGGTGGGGCAGATAAAATGATAATTTGTGACCATTTTTGATTGATTGTGACCGATAATTGGTTAATTTTCGACAAATTAATAACGTGTGACCTAAAAATTGTGACTGTGACTCACATTTTATTAAGTTATAATCGAGTTGTGACCAATAAAAGTAATATGTTACCTATAATTTGATATTTTGTGACCATAAAATAAATTGTGTGACTTGTAAATTTTGTGATTTGTGACCGATGAACAAATTGTGACTTTTAAATTTTTAATTTGTGATCGATAATCGAACTGTGGCCTATAAATTTTTTGAATTGTAACCTTAAAATTTTGAATTGTGATCAAAATGTATAGATTTGTGACCTTTATATATTTATTAATAAAATATATAATTAATTAATTAAATTATAAATA